TCCACTTCCTGACATGTTGGCCTGCCAGCTGGCTGCCTCCCCTTCTCGTTCACACAGGGGGGCTGGCTCCCTGAGCTGGATTGCAACTGATGCTCCCGTCAAAGGTCTACATAACACTTTATTCATAAACACTGTTGAAATTAAGCTGTTCAACAGTTCTCATCACACAGGTGACAGATCTGGGGTGCAGAATGGAAAGGCAATTCCTTGCTTCTACAGAGCACTCACGTCTCCAGCTTCTAAATCATTTTTCTAAATCATTAAACCATCCTACTCTCGACATATATGCTTGTTATTATCTCCATTTTGTAGCTGATGAAGTCAAGTCTCGTAGAGGCTCAGCATCCTGCCCAAATTTTCCTGGCCAGTGAACCACAGGGCCAGAGTTCCAGTGGTCCAGCTCCTAAGCTGGGATGAGGGATGATGGTTGTCAGGCTCTCAGCAAAGCCTGGGGCTCCTTGGGCAGAAACCAGGCAAATGTGGTTGACATTGAGAACCTATTATTCCTATGCTGGAGTGTGTGGGGGCTTTCCTGTCATGAGGTGTGGTAGTTTGAATGTAATTGGCCCCCATAAGCTCATAGGTAGTGGTACTATTAGGAGGTGTGGCTTTGTTGGAATGGATATGGCCTTGTTGGAGGAAGTGTGTCACTGTGGGAGTGAGCTTTGATGTTTCCTATGCTCAAGATACCACTCAGTGTCACAGACTACTTCCTGTAGCCCGCAAGATGTAGAACTCTCAGTTACCTCTTCAGCACCATGTCTGCCTGCATGCTGCCATGTCCTACCATGATGAGAATGGACTGAACCTCTGAATTGCAAGCAAGCTACCACAATTAAGTCCTTTCCTTTATAAGAGTTGCTGTGGTCATGGTGTCTCTTCACAGCAACAGAACACTTACTAGGGCATGAAGATATGTTGATGGCTAGTGGATTGTATGGAGACAGAATTCTTCCTTGTCTTCAGCGTTCATGCACATAGATGGCATAAGATATCTGTCCTTGTGCTAAAGTCTTGTAGAGGAGATAGCCAGATAAACTGGTCACTTCACACTGTAGTCTTATCACTGTCATTCCCACAAGAGAGTGAGTAACTGGCACCCTTTGGTATAACCCCCCACAGCTCACAATTTTGGGGTTTACTCTTTGTTTTAATGAAGATGCTGCTATACTCACAGGAACTCCCAAGTACATCCTAACATCCCATTGATTTCCTGTCAAAAAGGACACTGAGTGGAGACAAGGGTATGGTGAAGTCAGGCGCCCGGTGTGGTCAGGAAGAGGAAGCCAGAAACCCAGTCCAGCAAAGCAAATGGTCCATTAAAGTGAGTGGTCATGGGAGCAAAGGGGAAGCAGGGAACTGTGGGCAGAAAATGGAACGTGGAAAGGAACAGGGCAAACCACGGAAGATTCAAGGTCAAAACCCAGCAGAGGCAGGTTGAGCAGGAACACGGGCATTCAGACCCAGGCAGCTGAAGAACCTAACAAAACAGAAGGGGATCCCTCGACTGCGTGAACAGGCTTGCGCCACCACATAACCCTTCAGAAGACCTCACCCCGGGTAGTTCTGGGAAAGCAAGGGAGGAAAAGAGGAAGCAAGAGGGAGAGAGGAGGAGAGGAAGGGAGACAGCGGAGCCAATGTGAGCGCAAGAGAGGAGAGATGTCGAGAGAGTGTGAGGATGCTTCACAGAACCCAAGGCCCCTTGATGGTTTCAGAGACATAAGGGGAATGAGGCCCCTCTCTTCTCTGACTGATTCAGCTAGACCTGATTGGCCAGTGAACCCCAGGAACCTCTGTCTCCCCAACGCTTGGATCACAGCCATGCTCTGCCACACTCTGCTTTTCCCATGGGTGCTGGGGATCTAAACGCAGAACCTCATGCTTGTACTTCCGACTAAGCTACCTCTTTAACCCCTCTGTTTTACCGCTTGAAGCAAGGCTGTAGCCTAGGCTAGCCTAGAACTTCTGGCATTCCTCCTGTCTCAGCCATCCAAGTGCTGGGGTTACAGGCATGTACCACCACATCTGGATTTCTGTCGTTCCCCCCTCTCCCGCCACTGGACAACAATTTCTTACGGTGTGTAAGGAAGAATTCTGACTGGCTTACTTGTGGTCAGGTCCCCAGAACGAAACCACCTTGCCTAGATTGGGTATCAGGTTACATTTAGGTTGGCTAGCAAACTTTTACCCAGAGGCCCATCCTTCAGTCTCATCATTGTCCAGACCAGTTGTGTTGCATGAGGATGAAACAAATAACAGAAATGAAAGGGGGCCAAGAAGACTCAAGGGGCTACTGCAGTTGTTTTACCAACATTTGTAATTGGGAGAGCACCAGACTGTGTTAGTGCTTTTGTGTCAATAATACTAGTTCCTACACACCAGAGAGACACCCTAGGTACAGAAAGCCTGGAAACCGAAATGCTTTTCATTCACCTGGGATCTGGTTCTAAAGTCTTTCATTGTAGAAGATGCTGCAGGAGAAGACAAGTGTTCTAAGACTGGATCATCAGGATCTCAATTAGCTCCCAGACTGGGTTATGACTTAGTAATGAAAAACAAGCAAACAAAAAACAAATAACAAACAAACAAAAACCATGGGTGGGGAAGGTGATTGTATCAGTAAAATACTTTTGACAAAAGCATGAGGACCTCAGTTTGATCACTAGTACTGCCCCCACCCCACAAACCCCTAAGCATAGTAACATGCTTGTAATCCCAGCACTGGGAGGTGGAGACAGGAAGATCTCTGGGGTTCACTGGCCAGCTAGCCTAGCTGAATCTATGATCCTGGGGCCAGTGAGAGATCCTGTCTTTAAAAAAAAAAAAAGAAAACCAAGGTGGAGAACAAGAAAGTACCCAAGGTTAATCTCTGTCCCTGTATGCACATTATGTACCAGCTCACACACACATGTATATACATACACACAATGAAAATATGATTCTTGGGGCTGGAGAGATAGCTCAGCAATTAAGAGTGAGTCCTTTTTTCTAGAGGACTTGAGTTTGGTTCCCAGCACCAGGTAGCTCACAATTGCCTACCACTCCAACTCCAGGAGACCCAGTGCTCTCTTCTGGCATCTGCAAGCAACTGTACTCACGCAGGTACAGACACGCATTCATACATATAACTGAGAATTTTAAAATCTTAAAAATATGATTCATATGCACTAGTCAACAATGTTTAGACAGGTAAGTGGCTAGACTTTTTTTTTTTCCAAGACAGGGTTTCTCTGTGTAGTTTTGGTGCCTTTCCTGGATCTCGCTCTGTAGACCAGGCTGGCCTCAAACTCACAGAGATCCGCCTGGCTCTGCCTCCTGAGTGCTGGGATTAAAGGTGTGCACCTTTAGCTGTGGCTAGACTTTTAAGGTTATTTCCTGGAATCTGTTACCTGGAAAAGAAGTCAGCTGCTCGTTGTGTGGCTACTGATGATGGTCCCTCCTCAGCAATGCCACAGAGGAGCTGTCACTTACAAAGCACAGATGTGGAGACAGACACTCTTGAAGAGCTAATGCAAACCACAGCAAGCCACTGATTCCTAGGGTATCGGTTTCTAATTTCCCTGAACCCTCCCACTCTGCAACAGAACCAAACAAGAAATATAAAAACTGAACTCAAAAGAGCGATACCATGAATTTTCACTTAAAATTTTTAGAGTTTATAATTTATAGTTGAGAACACAACATCAATTTTTACTGAGAAAGCCTTAAATCTCACTCATCTGCAACTTGAATTTGAAAAGGTTCTGAAGGCAACACAGTAGGGCCACTTTATCCCTACCTTGCTGTATTAGCGGGGGTAAATTATTTAAGTCACCCACGCTATTTTGATAGGGGAGGTAACACGAACCTGTCTCTTGAGGGTTACTGGGACGTCTGAAAGTGAAAACCATGTTATCGCATGTGATCATTGTAAGAGTCTGCTTTTCTCTGCTTTGGTGGCTATGGTTTGTGGAGTGTTAGTTACTAATGTGCTTTGCACAACCATTCACCAAGAAAGGCCCCAGATAAAGGTGAGAAGAGACGTATGGGTCATTTGTTGAATATTTTTGTTGCCAACATCAATATGTAAAAATATGTATATCTGAACATTTTGGAAGGATGATGATGTCTGCTTCCCAGGCTGAAAGGACTAAATAGGGCTCTATGTGAGAATAAGATTTCATACCGTTGAATATTGGCCATGTAAATATTGTTACTTGACTCAGCTGCTCCAAAGCCCAGACTTTATAAACACACTAGAAGGTGATGGTGGCACACACCTTTAATCCCAACACTTGGGATGCAGAGGCAGGCAGATCTTTGAGTTCATGACAAGCCTGGTCTATAGAGCGAGTTCCAGGACAGCCAGAGCTGTGCAGAGAGACCCTGTCTTGAAAAAACAAAAACAGGGGCTGGGGAGATGGCTCAGTGGTTAAGAGCACTGACTGCTCTTCCAGAGGACCTGGGTTCAATTCCCAGCAACCACATGGTGCGCGTGCGTGTGCGTGTGTGTGCGTGTGTGTGCGTGCGTGCGTGCGTGCGTGTGTGTGTGTGTGTGTGTGTGTGTGTGTGTGTACTATGTGTGGAAGTCAGAAGACAACTTTGTGGAGTCGGTTTCCTCTGTCCACCTTTACCTGGGTTCTGAGGCTCAAACTCAGGTAGGCAGGCTTGTTCAGCAAGCACTTCACTCACTGTGCGGTCTCATGGGCCCCAGAAGCGACAATCTCTGTATACACATGGTTCACGGCACAGTTGCAGCAGACAGGATTCTTTTTTTTATTTTTTACAAATAACAGAACTTGGTGTTTTTTTTTTTTTTTTTAGGTTTTTCTTGTAATTCTTTAATAATAGTGACATTGAACTCATTTTTTCCCATATGCCTATTGGTCATTAATGTGTGTTTACAGGAATGTCTATTCAATTCCTTTGTCCATTTTTCTTTTTATTTTTCTTTATTAAGAAATTTTCTACTCACTCCTCATGCTATCCACAGACCCCCCTCCTCCCTCCTCCCACGCCCCCAACCCTCTTTCCCAAGCCACCCTGCATCCCCACATCCCCCAAATCGAGGTCTCCCATGGGGAGTCAGCAGAGCCCAGCTCACTGAGCCTAGGCAGGTCCAAGCCCTTTCCCACTGCACCAAGGCTGTGCAAGGTGTCACACCACAGGCACCGGATTCCCAGAAGCCTGCCCATGCACCAGGGACAGAGCCTGATCCCCCTGCCTGGGTGCCCCCCAAACAGTTCGAGCCAAACAACTGGCAGACAGGATTCTTAATAGACAACAGTGACAATCATTAGTGATTACGGTTATGTGTGTGAAGCACCAGAACTGGCTGGAACCATGACTCTCACGCAGACATGGCAGGAAGCCAGTCCTCTATACAGGCAGAACCTGTATCCCACTCTTACACATAGCTGAGTTGACTTGGGCTACAGAACACAATATTGGGGTCTGAGAGCCTGGGGAGATGCCTGAGTATCCTGATGTACAGGAAGCAAAGGAGAAATTTTGCTTGCTTCTTTGTGTGTGTGTTTGTGGAGTCGGGGTCCCACTCTAGCCCAGGCTGGCCTGGAACTGACCGTCTTTTTTCTTTCTGCAGTTTTCCAAATGCTAGGATTTTATGTGCAGGCTACTTACTACGCCAGGCTAGGCGTGGCTTCGTGCCAAGCCTTGCTCATGCAGAGGGACACATACCTGGTTAGCAGGGCCACCCTGCCCAAACCTAAGCAGGCTGCCTTGGTCTGAAAATGACACTGTGAAAAAGGGGTCTAGTATGTGATGCCGGGAGAGCTCAGGGTTCCCCTGATCACTATGGAATCATGAGGCTTTTAGGAGGTTCTGACTTCCATTGTGGTCACCAGGGGTGGGGCTGAGCTGGACAGCTGGGTTCAGCAGAAAGGGCTCGTTCAATAACCCATGCTGTCCCTCTCCTAGACTTTGGGTTCAATGGTGACTTTCTGAAGGGTTTTTCAATGCGTTGCAGGCAGGACTTGGTGACTGAGGCTTCATCGACAAGGAGCAGATCAGGATAGGGCTGTCCCCATGTCCCACCTGGGGACAACATTGCTTCCCGAGGAGCAAGAGGCAGGGCCCTACTCTTCAACATGGAGCCAGGCTTCTGTAAGCTATTCAGTTAGCTGAAGTGAGATGGTTGGAAAGTAGGCCACATCTGTATTTACGGTAACAAATTTGGCTATTATATTATAGTATTTTCCAGACGAGGCGAAAGTGGAAGAAAGCTGCAGAACCCCAGGGTTCTTTATTGGGGTGCTTTGCTATGGCCTTTCCGGAGACCTCCCTCCCGCCAGATGTTTTATCCCTTAGGCACTGAGCCAAGGCCAAGGCAGCTGCCTCATTCTTCTTTGGCTTCATTCTTCCCTACCGCTGACTCTCCAAACACTGGCAGTGGCCCTGCATCACTTCAGCGCGGATCTGCACCACGGTTGATGTTTTTGTTTGTTTTTATCCAGCAGAGTCTTACTATGTAACCCGCACTAGCTTAGAAATTACTATGCAGCCCAAGCTGGCTTTGAACGCATAACAATCCTTCTGCCTCGGCCTCCCAAGTGCTAGAATTACAAGCACGAGCCACCACGCTGGCTGACACATCCTTTTTAAACCGACAATTTCCTTGTCTGTTCCCAGCCAGCGTGAATCCCACAGGAAGAGAGGGCCGCGTGGCGCGCCTTTAGCTCCACGCGCTCTTCCCTTCCCCGGCCCGCCCTTAGCTCCACGCCCAGCACGCCCTCCCCTTCTCTGGGTAGCTGGCACTACCTGGCGCGGCGGAGGAGAGGAACAGCCGGGCGGATGGCGGGAGGAGCCCGGCCGCCAGGCGCGCGGGCGGCGGCGTTGCAGGAATCTCCCATTCATAAAGCCAACACCTGCTCGCCGCCTCCTGCCTCTCCCCACCCGCGAGCAGCCTGGGGAGGTTGTGTCTGGCAACCTTCACGGTGTCCCCGCCGAGTCCTCGCCGCTCCGGGCCTCATCGTCCACGACCCGCCTCGGTAGAACCGAGGAAACAAAAAGGCTGGTGGCGCGATACGTAAATCAAACCTCGCCCTTCGGCGCGAGGCAGTCCGACATTTTGTGCCTGGAAAGCTTTTGCGGGGAAATAGATTTAGGAAGCGACTGTCGCACTGTTCTGCGGGGCCTTTTTTTTTTCCAAGCGACTGGCCTTTTAGCGGCCGCTGTTTACGCTTTCATGGTGGCCGGGAGTGGGCAGGGCGGGAGCGGGCCAGGAGTGCTTTGGCAGGCGGGGCGGGGCGCCGTGCTAATTCGCCACGCAGTCTCCATCCGAACCGCGAGCTGCTCCCCACAATGATCCTCCCTGCGAGGCGCTCGGACCGGCCCCCGACTGCCAGCCGCGCGAGGCGAGCCCTCATTCGCTGAGCCGACGCCTGGCTCCCCGCCCCCCGCCCCGTTACTCTCGCTCTGGAAATTACAACTCCTGGGCGCTCGGCGCGGCGGGCGCGGGAGGCGGCGGGGCCGGGAGGGGATTCCCGAGCCAGCGGGCGCTCGCTCCCCGCCCGCCGCTGCAGCGTGGTGCGGCCAAGGTCAGGGGCGCCGCAGGAATCGGAGCTGGCGAGACGAGTCGGGGACGCGGGTCAGTTCCGGCCTGCGAAGAGGCAGCTCCGAGAGCGGCGGCCGGGGAGCGGGACGGCGACGACCTCCGGGCCCGAGGACGCCGAGGTGGCCGCGGGAGCGCAGCCGCCTGGCTGGCGGTGCGCACCGGGAGTCGGCGCTGACTCCTTCTCCTCCGGCTCGCGGGCGCTGTCCGCCGTCTGGTGGTGCTGAACCAGTCCTGGCCCAGCCGCTCGCGCTTCTGCCAAGAGCTGGGTAGGGGCGGGGCGCTCGGAGAAGACTCCCGGCCACGACGATGCGGAGCCTAGCTCAGTAGCCTCGCTGGCTGACAGCAGCGGGACACTGATCCTGCACGAAGGGGAGGCACGAGGTATCCGGACGGCGCCGCTGCTGCTGATTCATCACCCGGACAACCTCAGAGGCCACCTCGAGGGCTGCCCGCCACCTTCAGACGGCCGCCTCTGGTGCGGGAGCCTCGCCCGCAGGAGGTGAGGACCCCTCCCTTCTCTGGAGACCAAGCTTCTTAGGGCGGTGGCCTGAGGACAGAGAGGGGCGTGCCCCCCGCGGGTGAAGACAGCATGCCCGTGTAATGCCCCCGCCTCCCGTCTCAGCAGCGCTGACCTCGCCCGCCCGGCTGCGCTTGTCTTCGGAGCCTGACCATTCTTCGCTGGTCCCGAGCGGCTCGGGCCGCGGGCGCGGCGATGGAGGAGGAGCTGAAATGCCCTGTGTGCGGCTCCCTGTTCCGGGAGCCCATCATCTTGCCCTGCTCGCACAATGTCTGCCTGCCATGCGCCCGCACCATCGCGGTCCAGACCCCGGACGGCGAGCAGCACCTGCCCCCACCGCTCCTGCTTTCGCGGGGTGCCTCCGCCGCCGCCGCGCCCCCTCCGGATCAGGACGCTGCGGCCGGCGCGACCTGCGGAGGCGCTGGAGCTGGCACAGCTGGAGGCCTGGGCGGCGGGGCGGCCGGTGGTGGAGACCACGCGGACAAGCTGAGCTTGTACAGCGAGACTGACAGCGGTTATGGCTCCTACACCCCCAGCCTCAAGTCCCCCAATGGAGTCCGCGTGCTGCCCATGGTGCCAGCGCCCCCCGGCTCTTCTGCCGCCGCGGCCCGGGGCGCTGCCTGCTCCTCACTCTGCTCGTCCTCCAGCTCCATCACCTGCCCGCAGTGCCACCGCAGCGCCTCCCTGGATCACCGCGGCCTGCGAGGCTTCCAGCGCAACCGGCTGCTGGAGGGCATAGTGCAGCGGTACCAGCAGGGCCGTGGGGTTGCTGCGGGGGCGTCTGCAGCCCCGGCGGTGGCCATCTGCCAGCTGTGCGACCGCACCCCACCGGAGCCGGCAGCCACTCTTTGCGAGCAATGCGACGTGCTCTATTGCGCCACCTGCCAGCTCAAATGCCACCCGTCCCGGGGCCCTTTCGCTAAGCATCGGCTAGTTCAGCCCCCGCCGCCGCCCGCACCCCCAGAGGCTACCCCTGCTTCAGCCGGCACATCCACCGGCCCCAGCGCAGGAGGATGCAGGAGCCCAGGGGGTGCCGGGGCCAGCGTGCCGCGAAAGTTCCCCACCTGCCCCGAGCACGAAATGGAGAACTACAGCATGTACTGCGTGAGCTGTCGGAGCCCGGTGTGCTACCTGTGCCTGGAGGAAGGCAGACACGGCAAACACGAGGTGAAGCCGCTCGGGGCAACGTGGAAGCAGCACAAG